TAGCCCTTCACAAAAAGCAGAGCATCCTACCCTCCTCCAAGGCCCAAGCTGTTGTGCTCTCTGAGAAACCTTCCCAGTCCGTTCCAGTTCAGCGTGTGCTCGCCTTTGCGACACACCCCGTCTGCACACACCCCCTTGAGGTCTAGGTGTTTCTGAGCAGGCCTTGACACCAGCCATGCCTGCCAGTTCCCAAGCTTTGAGCTCCGGGACGGTACCCCAGACAAGTGCCATCTTCATAGCAGCCCTCCCGAGATAACCAGTTCAATAAATGCGTGAGAGGGTAGACCGCTTGAGAGTCCCTTCCTCCAGGAAGCCTCTTATGCCCAACTGGCTCAGTGGTTCCGGTCACCTCTCAAGCCGCCCACACACCTTCAGGAGCAAAACACAGCACATCGCGGGCTCGGCGTTGGGCATCTCTCATGTCCCCTACCTGACTGGGGACTCTTTCTGGAGACTGTGGCTTTCATGTGTCTAAACCACAGTGCTCAGCTTGCTGTCAGCCCGCTGTCTGACACACATGGGGGCCCGATGACGAGGTTAGGAAGGGAATGAGAGGGACTCCTTGTTTCAGGACTTGCAAACAGTTCTGTGCTGATGGGAAGGACGTGGATTAAGTGGCCCCGCCTGTCCCGTGCTCATCTTCCGCTCACAAACATGTTGGAAATTGCTCAGTCTGGTTAACTTTCTGGCTCTTTGATCTGGGAGAAGGGAGTAGAAAGATGGAGGAAGGAGGAGGCAGAGAGCCCTGGACTGTAAATCTGAGGAGAGAGGATGGGGGATGAGAGGAGAGAGGATGGGGGATGAGAGGAGAGGGAGAGACCCTCAAGGAAGTCCCTGCACAGGTAGATGTGGTGTGGTGGCCCTGAGTGAGAGGTTGGGGGCCTCCCTGCCATCCATCGTTTTCTTTTTAGAGATTTTTGCTATAGGACACATGTACTCGCTGGAGAGACAGAGAGAGAGAGAGAGAGAGACAGAGAGACAGAAAGCAAGGAATAGGGGGATGGCCATGCCGCAATCCCTTCTCCTCTATTCTCCTCTGGATTTTGGGCACGCATGCACACACGCCCAGTGTGAGTTTTAAGCCACCGGATCCAGGACTCGAACTATAGTTGACTACATGGGAGTCCAGAGACAATCACTACATTATCTGCTGGTCTCACCTGCCATCCATCTTTTCATCCCTATCTGACTGCCCTTGTCCAATCCTCTTGTTCCCTCCACACCCCACTGCCTAAAACAATGCTGGAAAAAATGAGACAGGGACCAAAATAACCTCCTGCCTGCCAGGAAGGGCCAGAAGCAGTCCCAAGTCCTCATCCACTCCCCCAGGTCCTCCTAGGGCTGGGCCAAGTCTTGACAACCCCCACCCCCCCGCTTCCTTGCTGGTCTCCCAAGGCCATGCAGGGAGAGCTGCAGCCTCCTTGGGCAGTGCCTTCCTGACCTGAGGCTCGGTCTAGTTTGGGGAGCTTCAGGATGGAGTGGGTACAGAGCTTCTGAGCAGGGTCACCCCCCAGCAGTGCTTCCACTGCCTTCCTCCCTCTTCCTCATGCATCCCTGCCCCCTGTGGAGAGACCTGGTGTGAGAGGCCAGGCTTTGGGAGGAATGAAGTAGGACTGAGAGGTCAGGGGGAGTGTGGGTGAGGTCCAGGCCCTGGGAGTCTTACTGTGGTATTATCTGGGCCTCAGCATCACATGTGAAGTCGAAGCTTTTCACTGGGCACCTTTAAAGGCACCTTCACCTGGTACCTGTGGGATCTGGGCTGACTTGAGCGATACTGGCTGTACAGAGCAAATTCCTGGCCGTGCTCCCCCACCGTCCCCCGTGTTGGCCTGGTGCAGCGGCTTGCCATTTTGACAACATCTCCTGAAGCCAGCGCAGTAAGTTCTTAGACCCATCCTGTGAGATGGTGCTCCTTGCCAGTTTCAGGAGTCTGGAAGCCAAGGCTCAGTTCTTAGAGGCTGGTAAAGCATTCAGGTCACGTGGCTGCAGAGCATGAGTGGACCCTGGTGTGAGGAGGGTCTCCCCTCAGGGGGTCCTGGACCAGCTGTGCAACCCAGCATGTTCTTGGCTCAGCATGGACTCTGGATCCCTGGGCTCCACCTGTTCTTTCCCTCCCCCCGCCATGGTCTTCTCTCCAGTTTAGGCCTCTGGCCTCCTGCTCCTCTATTTCCTTTACCACAAACCTCCCCTGCTCTCAGCCCTGGAGTCTGCCCTGGAGGAGAGCCGAGACTCGGAAGGTTTCTAGGTGGAAAGACCCAGCTCCAAGGTCTCATCTCAGCCCATCTCTCTCACTTGGGATGAACTTACTGGCTATTGGGGCAGGAAGGGACCATAGACTTCACTTAACTGATGGGTAAACCGAGGCCAAAAGAGGAAGAGAGCCCACCTGAGGCCACACAGCCAGTGAGTGGCAGAGCAGGGCCTAGATGTTGGCTCCTAGCTCTTCTGACTCTCAGTCAAGGGCCCTCGTCACCATGAGAAATGGCCTTGCAGTCCAGGAGTGCTGCATCAGCAATAAATCCCCCCTCTCCCACTGGCCAGAGGGCCCCAAACAGGCCTGTCTAAACTCCAGGAGGCCTGCCCTGGGTAGGGGTGCCAGAGGGAGGAGAGGTGGGAAGAGTCTTGGCTTTTATACTGCCCAGAGCTGAGGAACAAACAAATTACTTACCGGTATTATGCAAATGAACCTGCTATCTGTCAACAACCACGTCAACAAGATTGGGGGTGGGTGTGTGGGGCGGACGCACAGGAACCCTCTGAAGCTGAGGGTTGGATAGCGACCCCAATCGTCCTCCTCCTGCCCCAAGCTGGGCCTGCCTGTCTTTGCAGGTTTCTCTGCAAATGACGACCGTGGGGGTGCTGGGGCTGAGAAGGAAGAGAGAAAGCCTTAAGACAAAAAGGACTCTGGCCAAGGCAAGGCCAAGATGGGGTGTGTGTGTGTCAGGGGAGTGTACGAAGGCCTGCATGTTTGCGTGACACGGGTGGGGGGAGTAGGCAGGGGAAGTGGAGGGAGGAGAAAGTAGAGGCTGAGTTCACACTTCCCGGTTTCTCCAGCTAGCCTCTGGGGAGCTCTGAGGCCCAGATTCCTTGCTCCCCCGAAGGCAGAATGAATGGAAGTTATCTTTCCCCACCCTGGGCTTTCTTCTCTGCCCTCACCGCCCTGCTCCTCATGTTCATGGTCACAGTCCAGCCCTGCCTTTCTCCCCTGTGTTCAGTACAGAGCGCCCAGCCCCTCACAATTGGCTCGTTTTCCAATTGAGCCAGGCAGACCGCTCTCTTGGCATCGTGAGATCTGGAGACGGTACCCTTTCCTAGTGCCCACGAACGAGGTTGCTCAGGCTGAGACCTCTGAAAGGCACGCAGTCTGAGCCACGGTCTGCCCAGTCAGTACCAAGGGACTACCTAAACTGAAACGGGCAGCAGGTGGCCCAGAAGGGCCTCTGGGCATGTGGGAAGAGCACTGTTCTGGGAGTCAGAGGCCTGGGTTTCGTACTCTGGTTCTGCTTGGATTTGCCCTGTGACCCTTCAGAAGTGCCCCCCCCCACCAGTCTGCTTCTTGATCGATACCACACAGGGACTGCACTGGACAGCTTGGCTTAGGTCCTGAGCTATGGAGAGGGAGGAGGAAGAAAGGAAGGAGGCATAGAGAGGGTGACACCGACAGCCAGACATGGGAAGCTGGGTCACTTCCCCGAGCCTCAGCGTCCTCATCTGTAAAATGGCACCTGCTTTAGACTAACAGGCAGTTCTGAAAGATGGATGAGAATGGAGCAGAATGACTCAGGACGGAGCCTGCAAAGTAGCGTTCGCTGGAAGGATGCTAGCTCCTGAGGATGTGCAGGGACGTTCTGGAGAGAGCAGGGTTTTCGATGGAGGGCGGATGTCTGTGGGGGGTCAGAGAGGGGACATCCAGGAGCCCTGCCGGGAAGATGCTGCGCTCAGGGGCCTGTTGGGCGCTGGAGGCCGGACCAGGCTCCTGGGCGTCCTGCGTTGAGGACCCAGAGAGGCTGCGCCTCTGTCCAGTCCCCAGGCTGGATACATGCACCAGACCCTTTGAAAAGCTCACATTTTTCCAGGGTTTCTCACCCAGAATCACTTCCTTTGTTTAGAGGAGGGGGGAGGAGACGGAGGGCGAGGAGGGAGGGGCCCGCGGGTGCCGCCGCCGCCCCCGCCCCCTCCCGGTGTGCGGAGCCCGACTGTCACTCAGCTCCCGCACCGGGGG